ATGTCTATTATACCATTCTAAATGTCCACATGTACACACTGTTTAGTTCCACTTTATTCAAATTATCTTAGAGAAAGCAACAGTGAATCTAATAAATTAAGAAGTAGGGGGCTTCCTGAGCTTTCCCCTGACCTCTCCACCACTCCTTGATCTAGGCACATTCTGGGAAAGATCCCAGCATGGAAAGCCCTGATTGCTACGGTTGCAGCCAAATGTTGAATGAGACAGGGTACAGAAAAGGACTTTGAAAACCATAAGGCACACTATAAATATTGGGCACTGTTATTCACTGAATCCCTCTGGCAAATAAGATGAAGACCACAGCTACAGTCACAAGGCAAGGAACAGCTGTCAAATACAGAAATTGTATCTATTCCAAATCAAGATACCCCTAACTAGAAATTCCAGTAATTTGAGGGCCAGGCACAGTGGCTCTTGCCTGTAATCCCAGCACTTTGGGAGGCCAAGACAGGCAGATCACTTGAGGTCAGGAGTTCGAGACCAGCCTGGCCAACGTGGCGAAATCCCGTCACTACTAAAAATACAAAAAGTAGCCGCTCATGGTGACGCATGCCTGTAAACCCAGCTACTCAGGAGGCTGAGGCACGAGAATTGCTTGGAACTGGGAGGTGGAAACTGCAGTGAGATTGCGCCACTGCATTCTAGCGTGGGTGACAGAGCGAGACTCCATCTCAAAACAAAACAAAAAAACAAAAAGAAATTCCAGTAATTTGAGAGGACATGATGCTTGGTATGTTTCCTGTCAAATACGTCTCAACATTTAAAAATCCTACCTGAGGCATAATATGGGGCTCTTAATAAACTACTGCACACATTTATTAAAACTTAAGTCCTCATCTAGTGTATTTCTCCAAGGAAGTTTTGACACATTGCAGATCTTAACTAATTAGGTAAATTCCATTCCATTCAATCACTCATTGAGTGACTTCCAAGTGCAAGGTAGTGTGCTAGCTGCTATGGGGGTTGCCGAGATGTGCGAAAAGGCCCAGCCTTCCAGTAGCTTGGCCAATTAATCTTCTCAGTTTCCATTTCAGATCAAGGAAGCTGCATCTCCTTTCACAAATGTAAGAGAAAGCAATCTTTATTTTAGGTTATTAACCTACAACCTGGGAAATACATTTTCTAGCGACATAGTTAATAAAAAAGCAAAGAAACTTCTTAATACCTGGTGACTGCAGACACTGTTGTGTGTTCATTTCTGTTTATCCTAGCCCAGTTGACATCCAATCACTCCTGTCATAATTGCATAACCACAGCATGTCATGTTGTTTCTTGTTGCAACTATAACTTGTAAAATCAGACTTCAGAACCGAGATAGTCAAGCTAAATAATTGCCTACTTTAAAAAATATGTATGTATATAATTTACATGCCAGTTCAGTAAGCTCTTGAATTATGATCTCTGGAAGTCAGAACTGTCACCATTTTTTAAAATATAGTTTCACTGTCGCAATTGTTCTTGTACACAAGCCCTACCCCTGTTTTTGAAGTTTTCTAAGCAGTACTTTATACTGGTCTATTGCAATCTGCTTTTTGTGTTTTGTGGAGAATCCAATTAAGCACGATTTTTATTTACTCCATGCTATGGGACTTTTAAAACTGAGGTCCAAAGAATGGCCAAAGATGTATTTGTTTGCTAAAATCTACTAATAAAAGTATCTTTACACAGTAAAACTGGACAAAAATGGTCAGTGAAACATCTGAAAACCCACCATGTACTTTGCTAGGGTCCTCCCACCCGTGTTATATATCATGTAACCCTTCCCTCACCCTGGGAGGGACGCTTCACTATATTCATTTCCAAAATAATATTTTTAGATGTATCTTTCCATGAAGACTGATTAGCCCAATATCTCTGAGTGAATTCCTACTGACTAGATGCATAAGCTGATTTACATAGTCAATATGTTCCTGAAAAACTGGAGGCAAATCAACTTTTACATACAGATTATTTTCATGTAAACTTGCATTGTAAGATCAGAACTGCCATACCCTCGCTTCTGATAGATAATCAGCACTGTGCTGCTCAGAGCGCTTGCTGGAGCCTGCAGCCTGTCCATGGGTACACACCGGTTCTTAACAACTCTCTGATGAGTTTGGATGATGAGGTACAGAAGGAAACAATTTAAAATTACCTAAAATAAGCAGTGACCACACTCTGAGATATCAGCTAAACATCAGGAGAGAAAAATACACACAAAGTAATGCTCCCTCCTCCCTTTATATTTGGTTTTAAGAAGCTGGAGTAAAACAAAGTATGGTAAGACAGTGATGTCTGACCAATTTCTCTGTTAACTGGCATTCTCCTTCTACCATGTCCCTCCAGAATTACTGTGCTGTTACCCCTTAGTTAGGGCCACCCTCAAAGTAGAGCTGGAAGGAAACTTCAAAGGATACAGAGCTCCAAGACCTCTGTACTGAAACCTGTGAGCTACACATGACGCCTCATTATATGGCTGTAAGTTGCATTGATAAATTCAAATGAAGACAGTCATACTTATCACCTTAGGACTCTTCTGTAAATATGTCACCTTCGTTCTCCTGCCCTATTGGAAGGTGACATGACATTCTCTCTCCCAGCCTTTGGTATCTCCTTCTTCAGACAAAAAAGAAAAAAAGAAAAAAAAAAAAAAACACACCTCATAGAAGAGGGCTGCTTAGAGCCTGGAGCAAGCCACTCAGAATATAAAACTCAAAGCTTGCCTGTTCACAAATACAACACAGTGCTGAGAGATATGATCCACTTGGAAATTGTATCCATAATGGTGCAAACCATCTTCCTCCTTAGCAGGCTTTTTGAATCAGTAGGAGCAAATAGTACCAAAGGTCTTGAATTATGCCCTGTGATTCTTCAAGAAGCTCAAACCCCTTCAGACAGTGGCCTATTAATTCCCAGAAACCCATGTTGAATGATAGAGTGAGATGGGAGGAGGCATACATTTCTAGCCAAGAAAACAAAATTATCAGTTTTCTAAACTCAGAGTTAAATTAAGTTAACCCTGAAGAGGGAAGCTGGAAGAAATTTTAATACTGAAGGATGTGAGACCTCTCTACCACCCAAGGCCATTTTTCTTTGGAAACATATCCCAACTGTGATAAAGCTAGACAACAGAAACACCCCGCCCCTCCTCAGGCACCCACCCACCCAAGAGTTGAGCGCACTGGTCTTTATTGCCCTTTTCAGAAGCCTACAGGACTGTTCTCTGAAGCAGGCTTGCACAGCAGTAAACATTAAGTGACATTCTATTTCAATGATGCATTTGTGATCTGTGAAGTGCCAGTCCCAGCATTGGTTTAACGCCTATAAATACACTCGGTTGTCCTATCACTGGTACTTCCTACTTTGTAAGTAGCAAAATAAAAATAGGTGATCCAATCCAAATTAATTTCCATATCTGACAACTGCATTTCCAAACAGCCAACACGGAACATGTTCTATTGATCCTACAATCCGGCTCTAGACATATGAAAAAGGGGAGAAAAACCCCAAACTCAGCATCTTGAGCTTAAAAGACCCTTCAGAAACATCACCTTCTCTCCACAACAGTGCTGAAGTAGGGCAGGCTCACTCCACCTATGTTTGTTTCTACCCTGGTTCATCCCAATGCTATCAAATTAAAAGGTTATTCCCATTAGGCAGAAGCTGAGCCCATCCCCTTGAATAAGGAGGTAATCATTACATCTGCCTGTGTAACGAACTTGTCATTTCCCCAAACGGGCTGGACAGTCTCCTAACAAAAAAATAAAAAGAAAAAAGTACTCCATGGAATCTGTGGTGTGTCAGCCACCCCTCCCAATATCTGAGTCACACTACGTGTGTCTCTACTGAGGTTCTGGGTGCCCAGGGTGTATCACTTTCAGAGTTGCTTCAGTAACTGAGCTATGGCTGTCTTCCAGCCACAGACAACACAAGCACTATTTTAAAACAATTTTCCTAACCCACAGGCAATGGAAGAGATCCCACAGGTCACCGACTTACTATTGGAAACAAATTATTTCTCTCTCAAACTGTGCTCCCCATCTCTCAGAATTAATGCGTGTTTATGAGGGCGAATTTCTGTCTTTGGCCATGCAACTCTTGGGGCAAAGAGGGCCACCCCAAATTTTACCGACACGACTGAGCCATTCAGACCTTTAGAAGAGAAATGAATGGGTGATGAGAGCCCTTAAGCCAGAACTTCTCTGCCATAAACAATAAGTGGGAAAGGAAAAAAGAAAAACAAAAACAAAAAACCAACCCTCCGTAGAGGGAGGGGGCAGGGTGGATGATCGGGAAAGGACAGTAACCAGCAGACCAAAGGCAGCCGCGGCGGCGGCGGCACTTCGCGAACTGCCTGCAGAGGGGAGGGAAATCTGTTTCGTGTACAATAACCAAGCACCCTCTGGCTGCCTCGCATGGGCAAGAATAATAAATACACCGAGGTGGGCAAGCAGATGCACCGAAACCAGCCACCTCAAAAAGGTCAAAACTTCAGAAACCCCGGGGGTCGCACCACCCACGCAAACACATCAATCAGTCGGAGCGGGAGAAGGAACTCGGACACTTAGCGAAGGAACCTAAATGGTGTTTTTTTTCTTTCAAGCTCTGGCTTGCAAAGTACGGCGGCTACAAGCAAAGCTAGAGGAGAGCAGGAAGGCTGAGGGCGGCGGGGTGCGGGTGGGAAGGGAGGGGTGTCTAACACCAGCCACCCAGGCCTCGGTGTGACGAAAGTCGTCAGCAGCCCCGACCGCATCCCAGCCCCTCCGCCCCGGCCGGCAGACGCCCCTCGCGGCCACCCCACCCCAGCTTCCGTCCCCGGCAGCAGCCCCGGCCCGGGCCCCGCGCCGGCAGCGCCACGACCGCGGCTCCCATCCCTTCCGCGCGGCAGACACCCCGCAGGCCTCCCTCCCTGCCCACCCGGGGATGCCCGGGGAGCCGAGCCGGGGCGGGCTGCACCGCCGGCTCCCCCCGCCCCAGAGCAGGCGATGGCTCCCGCTTACCTTGGGCGCTCGCGGGGGGGCTGAAGGTGGCAAGCCTCCCGCCCCCCGCCCCTGTCCTCCTCGCCGTTTTTCTTCCTCCCTCCTCCTCCTCTTCCTCCTCGTCCCCACAGTGTGTCCGAGGCTCCCGCTCCTCTCCGCCGCTTGGAGTAAGAACCCAAAACCCCGGAGCCGGGCCCGCGTGCGAGCGTGCGGGAGGCGGCGGCGCGCGGCCAGGTCTCCAGTAACTGAGCGCGGCGCGCAGCTCCCAACTAAAGTGTGAAAGAAGCGGCGGCCGCGGCGGCCGCGGCACGGAACGTTCCCCCGGGAGTGGGCAGGGAGCGAGCCGGAGCTGGCGGGGAGCGAGCGAGGGAGGGGAGCTGCTCGCCCAGTCACTCACTCGAGGGGCGGGGGCAGCGGACACTCCCCCACCGCCGGCCCCTCCCCGCGCCCGGCTCCCGCGCGCGCCTCGCTCCCCTCCCCGGGGCGGGGCCTGCGGAGGCCGCCGGGGCGTGGCGCGCAGGGGAGCTGGCTGGGGGCTGCTCGGGCTGCGGGGCGGGAAGCGCGCGGGGGTGTGCGGTTGTGTGTGGTGTGTACGTGTGTGTGTGCGCGCGCGCCCTGCAGCGGCCGCCCAGCAGGAGGGAGGACCCCGGCGGGAAGACCGCGTCCCGTCCGGCCTTCCCGGGCCTGTCACTTGGGCGGTGGCGTGGGAGCGGCGACGGGCAGCCGGGTGGGCCCAGCTCTAGGGGAGATTCGGGCCAGCCCCTGGGCCCAGCCTCGGGGCTGTGCCTGCTGGAAGCGGACGGAGGGAAGGCCGGGCGTCCTCGGCCCACCGCGCAGCCGCTCCTCTCCCAGGCCAGGCTGAACGGCGGGACAGCCCACCGGCCCGGGCCCCGCCGCGGCCCGCCCCCACACTGACCAGAGCTGCGGCGCCCGCAGGATGAACGAAGCATCCGCGATTCGGCAGAAGCGGCACCCGGAGGAAAGACAGGATCGTGCTGCACTCCGCTCCCCACCCTCCTCAGCCTCCTAGGACCTAAAGGCGTAGGCTGCGTCTGCTGGGCGCGTCCGGAGTGGTCCAGAGAGATCGCCATCCACCACTGCATCCGTCCAGTTCTTTGTGGACCCTCACAGCAGCCCAATCAATTTCCCACCTTCTGGTAAAGGGTATTTTTCTCCTCTTCCCGGGATAGCCTTTGGATGTTTTTTTGTGCGGCTTCCCCCCCTCCCCACCCCGCGCTTCACTGCTCTCTCATTGCCTTAGACACGCGAGGAATGTCAGGCCCCCAGAGTGAGAACACCCAAGAAAACAATAGGGGCAAAAGATCCTCCCTGGGCTTTGCGGATTATCCACAAGCCAGATAATTTCCCACATTCGGCCAGGATGAAGTTGGAAAACGGAAAAGGACACATCAAAGTGGTGACACTGATGAGAAAAGCAAATTCATAATTTTGTGTAATGAAATGTGTTAGTAATCACTAATGTCTAGGAAATTGGCCTTTTTTGAAAACTGGTTTTCCCTTTTCCACCTTTTTTTTTTTTAATTAAAAGGCTAGTTTTCCATTGTTGTTTTTTAAATTTTTATTGTTTTCAGGGATGGGGTTTCCTGCCAAGGCTGGACTTGAACTCCTGGGCCCAAGAGATCCTCCTGAAGTGATCTTCCCCATCTCAGCCTCCCCAGTAGCTGGGACTATAGGCCAATGTCACCGCACCCTGCCTAACATCACATTGTTCAGGAACCTTAACTTACATTCCATTTTTACAAAATATCCATATTCTGGTTCATTCTTCTTGGATCCCAAATTCTTTGTAGTCTAGCCTCTTGGAAAGGAGCAGTTAAGAAGGAAGAGTAGACAAATTGGGATTTCAATCAGGGGCAGCCAGCCCCATTCCCTTCACCATAGGTGACTTGTTTCATTTCTTCTTTCCTCATCCGTAAAGGGCATTGATAATGATCATTCCTATCTCATAAGTTTGTTGTGAAGTTTTGTTTTGTTTTTGTTTTTTGTTTTTTATTTGTTTTTTTAATGATGGGTTTCACCATGTTGGTCAGGCTGATCTTGAACTCCCGACCTCAGGTGATCCGCCCGCCTTGGCCTCCAAAGTGCTTGGATTACAGGCGTGAGCCACCACGCCTGACCTCTTTGTGACGTTAAAAAGAAAATAAAATGAGGTGGCAATGCATGAAGAACACTTTGCATAGTGCCTGACACATGATGAGAACTCAATAAATAGAAGCTATTGTTTCAAACTTGATTCTTTTAAACTCAAATTTGGTATAATTTTATTCTCTTTCCATTCCTTCTGACAAGTTAGGGAGGGGAATGGATCCAGCTGCTGGATTTATTCAAATGTAGTCTACTCTTCCCTTGGGATTTTATGCCATGCCTGAAAATTTTGCCTGTGGTAAAATGAAATAAATACATAACTGAGGGGTGTGTGTGTGTGTACACCTATATAAAAGGATCTTTGAGGACAATGAGTTTTCTTCTTTCCCTCCTTTTTCCTTCCCTCATCTACACAAACCACCCTGAATAGACAGAGCCCTGTAAGGCTGACCGGTATACCCCTTCAGGGCTCAGACAGTGGTTGGTACTGTAGATTTCTTGAGGGCAGGACTATTGGGTTTGTTTGGCTTATCCTCAGAACTAACAGAAGGCCACAGAAGAAGCACTACATGTGTAGATGAAAGAACAGCTATACTACAAACTTTTAAAGCCAGGTTTAGATTACTCAAGATAATACAGGCTCATTGTGGAAATTTTCAACGTTTGAAAAAAACTAAGAACAAAGAAAATGAAAAATCATAATTCCACCATCCAGAGAGAAGCACTCAATAAGTGCTTCAAGTTTATCTATTTTCCCTTCATTTATTTCATCATCAATCAAAACACATTTATTAAGTACATAAGAGATCAGACAATCCATTAATACAAGAAAAGATTATATATGTGTTGTGTTGTCTGTTTCTCATAGAAACTATTCCATAGAAGCAACATTTTATATAGTTAGTAAGGTTCTCAGGTTAGCCTACAGAAGCCCATGGAAGGAATCCCACAATTAAATGACCATGCTGACCAGAGACAATCCAGATTTTGCAGGGTTTGAAGTACTTAACATTTGGGAAGCCACCTTCAAGATTAAAAAACACAAAAGTACTAAAACCCCTTAGGAGAGGCTAATGTAAACGAAGGTCATGAAACAATTTGGGGAGCTACCTTCAAAGTAAGAAATACAAAAGTACAAAATGTTGGGCTCATGTAAATGAAGGTCTAAGTCCCATTTGCTTTTGAGTAAACCTACTCTCTCTGGTGCTGCAATTTCTACAGAAATTAACTGCTTTGCAATGTTTATTGCTTCAACGTGAAATGTTCCACATTTTACCTGGGATCCCTGGGACACCTCTCCTCCCCTCCCCGACAAATTTGGAAGATTTGAGAGGGAGATTTCCAGCACCTGGCCACAGCAGGGGCAGTGGGACTGGGGACCTCCGCTGGGGTTGCAGAAGGAAAGAGGGAGAGAAGAGCAAAATGGGAGGGGAGGGGACAGACAGGTTGCCCACCAAGGTGCTGGAGAGACACTTTAGGCATTGGTTGGCACACCAACCAACTATGCAACAGGAGTCGCCACAAATCACAAATCTGCTTGGTATGCACAAGCTAAACCTACGAGACATTTTATCACAGAATAATCTAGTTATTCATAATTATTAAGATGACTATAAGCATATTTACCTAAAAAGAATGAAGAACAATGATTTTTTTCCCCGGTCTCATCACCCTTCCACACCACCAGAATCTCTGGATTCCATATCTTCCCACACTCTAAAAGATGTAATAATCTTTTCGCCCAGAAAAGTTACATTTTAATCTTCAAAGTCACCACTATTATTATCAACTTTCTCTTAGTCTTAAAGCTTTAGCTTATAAACACTTGCATCCATAGGACGGTACATATCAGTTTGAATTTTTTGTTTCTTCTTTTTCTTTTAAATATAATATGGACTGAATGCGTGTGTCCAAATTTATATATTGAAGCCCTAACCCTTAATGTGATGGTATTAGAATGTGGGGCCTTTCGGATGCAATTGGATTTTGATGATTGGAGAGTGGAGTCCTCATGATAGGATTAGTGCATTGTTAAGAAGAGCCAGAGCTTGTTCCCGCCCATCTGCATATGAGAGCACGGCAGGAAGGCAGCCATCTAAGCCAGAAAGAGGGTTTCTGCTAAGAACCTGAGCAGGCTGGCATCATGATCCTGGACTCTGAGCCTCCAGACCTGTAAGAAATGAATTCCTTTTGTTTGAACCATGCAGTCTATAGTATTTTGTTATGGCGGCCTGTGCTGACCAAGATAATAGGTTCCCTTTACCATTGATAGTCAAAAAAAAAAAAAGATAGTAAAACCAGCACACCACCCTCCTATGATTTCTCATATAAATCTAAATGAATTCATTTTATGCGATTGATTTATTTATTTACTTATTTATTTTGAGACAGAGTCTTGCTCTGTTGCCCAGGCTGGAGTGCAGGGGGGCGATCTTGGCTCACCCCAACCTCCGCCTCCCAGGTTCAAGTGATTCTCCTGCCTCAGCCTCCCGAGTAGGTGGGACTACAGGCATATGGCACCACGCCTTGCTAATTTTTGTATTTTTAGTAGAGATGGGATTTCACTATGTTGGGTCAGGCTGGTCTTGAACTCCTGACCTCGTGATCTGCCTGCCTCGGCCTCCCAAAGTGCTGGGATTACAGGCATGAGCTACTGCACCTGGCCCTATGTGATTTACTTTTAAAAGTTTTCTAATAAAGTTAATTTGTCTGAATAATCAAGTTAAAAATAAGTGACCCCAAGATGAAGACTACTCTGAAATGTGCTTTCTTTACATTTGCTCCATGCAATCACAGCTAACACGGATTGTCTGCTGTATATCAAGCATGGCATTATGTAATTCATAATACAAATCAACTGATGTCATCTTCCCAACACACTCAGATAGATACTAATATTATCATCATTCCCATGCAGATGTGGAAACAGAGGCACAGAGGGGTGAAGTCATGAGTGCAATGCCAAGTGGTTGATTCTCATTAGTCAGATGCTAGAGCCCATGCTTTTCACTGTTAAGAAATATGTTTTCACTTCAATCTCCTCTGTTTTTCTGCCTCAGTTTTACTCATTTTTCAAGGCCAGGCTCAAACCCTAACTCCTAAGTGAGTGATCTCAGCCTCTGAGTTTCTGAACTTTTGAAGTTTCCAGGACCTTCCACATCTTTTACATTAGCTCCACCAGGCTTGAGTGTGTGTGTGTGTGTGTGTGTGTGTGTGTGTGTGTTTAAACTCCTCTTTGGGGATACCACAGTGCACACACAATTAAAGGATCCAATTAGGGCCGTTTATGCATTTT